TCTCTCTCTCTCTCTCTCACTGCTCGTATATATATATATATATATATATATATATATATATCTCTTCTATATCATCACTATTCTTACGGTCGATCCGTTTTATCGAGTTCTTTTCCAACGAGAACCGTTTATCGTGATTTTCGATCGTCCACACGGGCTCTTTACGATCTTACCTTTACGCGTCGGCGACGAACGGCAATTCCGGGGGTTGTAGCAGTGGGAGAATGGAATTATATCGTCATTAAAGCGACCTGGCGTTCCGATTTTGTCATCTCGGCGACCGACAACCTCACACGGCGGCACTTTGACTTTACAACGACATTGCGAAACGCGTCGCGCTCTCAATTCGTTCTTTCAGCGGACGTTCATGCAAAAAGGCGCGCTCTTTCCCTCTCACTCATCGACGCTATATCGACATCGATTATCGGCTGTCCGTTTTTTTTTAGTCCCGTAGAGGTATTATCCGCGTCGCGACGATAACGACGGTGAGGACGATGACGATGACGATGACGACGAAACCGCGCGCAAACAATATTCGCAAACGCGAATCGTTCCGATCGCTGTTCGGAATTCGAACGATTCGGCGTATCAATCTCACGAGAGACAGTGACTAATAAAAACTCGTCGCTCACCGGCATCGTTATCCTGATGCTGCTGGTACGTACTCCACTACGAGTAGCTCGCCATGCTCCGACTACGAGTTTGGATTTTTGTGAGTCTCAGAGAGCGGAGAACGCTCTCTCGGTCCGCCGGGTACCGAAAAGTTCTCGGTCACAAGCGGATACGCGGCGCGGTATGGTAAACGAAGATGGACAGAAGAACGAGGAAGAGAGAGAGAGAGAGAGAGAGAGAGAAAGAAGAGACGAACGCGGCATGCCGAGCATACGCATCGGTATTAGTCGTTCCTCGGGGTTCGCTACGGCGTGTGCAAACAAATCGAAAGTTTTTCGCAAAATGGCCGTCACCGGGCTGACACGGATGTCCGCGTAAACTCCCTCTAGCCCCCCCGCATCCTCCACCCCGCGTCCCATCTCCCGCCGCACTTTTCCCCGCGCCTCGTTTCCGCGCTTGTCGACCGGCTGCCTCTCTCGCCACTCGTGATTTCCCTCACTTCCCACACTACCACAAATATGGCGCCTCCACCCGTTTTCCCAACCCCTATACAACGTAGCTCCGCATAAAGCGACAGAGCGAGAGAGGGGGAGGATACGTATACGTAGGCGATATAACCGGAATATATATGTATGTCCGTGTATGTACGTGCGCGTACACCGTACATGTGTGTACACGTGTGCGATTGTGTGTGCGAGTGTGTAGCGAGTACCATCCTGTACGCGCGATTGTGTGTGCTAAGGGGGTGCCCCTATGTGAATATCGCGCGGCACACAGTCCCAAGCAGTTTCCTACTTGATTGCCGCTATCGTCCGCTCGCCTCGTAAAGGCGCTGACTCCGCGCGGACCGTGCCGTCGCGATCGCGACCTCGACCAATCGGCGCCGGCCCGAACGACACTTGGCCAATCGTGGCGCCGTCTGGCGCGGCCGATCGGCTCATCGACGGTAAAGAGTCGAATGAAAACGCGACCTCGGCCAATAGCGCGTCGACTTTTTCAGATGACGCGCCTACGTAGCGTCCGCGCGGATTGTTCTCTCTTGGCTGGTCTCCCCCCACGAACCTCCACGAGAGAACGTACCTATACTGAATAAAGGTGCTACGCGAAGCCGCAGCGAAACATGAAAAATAGGGGGCCACACGAGGAAAAACACGGACTCGAGGGAGGCAGGGGGATGAGGGGCAGGAGATGGAGGGCGCTGTAGGATGGATCCTACGAACCGAGACACCGAAGGCTGGATGCAGTCGGGGTTGCGTGGGATG